ATATTTATTCGGAAACTATACAATATATATTAACCAATTATAATAAAAGATATTATAAACTATTGTTTTGAATATCTTCGATATACAAAGTTTGAATCTGTAATTCGATTTTAAATATTGTCGAAAATTATAATCGAAATACTTATAGATTATTTAGAAACTGATTTTATTAGCCTATTTTCATCTATTAAGATTAATAAGATTTTATATAAATATATTTTATTTATTATTAATTATTTTTTATAATATATATAGATATTTCTATATACTTCTAATATAAATATAGAAATTATTTGATATTTAGTATATCTATTTATATATTTCGAAATATTAATTGGATTCTATATAGATCCGGGTTTTTATTTCAGAATTATAATTAAAACTTATATCGAGAAATATAATGTTTTATAAGTAATATCATCAATTGCAATTAAGAAAGCTATAGATATAATTAAACGAATTGTTTGAATTATTTAGAATATCCTAAATAAATCTTTAAATAGTCTTTATAAAATATAAGGGTTTTTGATTACGAAAATAGTATTTGAAGTTAATCGTTGAGATATTTCGTATTTAGATTATTTGCTATATAAAATCTTCTTCGGATTCCAATCGATAAAGAAGCTTGATTATGAATTTCCAGATTATCATTGAGAAAGTATAATTATATTTATATTCATTAATACTTGTTTTGATGATAATGAAATTCTCGATACCAAAACAATTATCTTGTTTATTGTTAATCAAAAATATATTTTACAAAATATTAACAAATACTTAAATGTATAATAAAAAAAGAATAAAGAATAATATAATCAAAAAATATATTGTAGATCTTTTATATTAGAATAATTTGTTATATTCTACAATTCCAAGATTGTTGAATAGAAATTAAAAGCTAATTGGTATAATCTGTTCATCATCATTGAATTTGATAGAGATTATAAATGTTCGTATACTATTAAACAAATCGATAAAACTCCGATTTCAAGAATATACTACAATAATCATTTGAAGCTATTTCGTTTACAAAAAAAATACTTGATTATCAAAAAGGAATACAATTTGTCGATATTTCAAAATATATATACAAAAAGCTTCTCGAAATGTTTATCGATAATAATATATCGAATTCTTAAAATAAAAGATCTGTATAACAATTATCAAATCGAAAAATATAGAGTTTCTTACAAATCGATTGGATTTTCGTTTTGGAATCTATAATATAGTTATAATATTTTGGGAATCGAAAAATTAAAAGCTAGAAAAGAAAATTATTAAATAATTTAGATAAGGATAATTTATAAAGATATATATATTGTATTATTTATTATTGAATACAAAAAATTGCTTTGAAAAATCGAAAATACCAATTTACCAGATTTGTTTTAGGATCGATATAATCGCTTTAGAAGTGTTTAAGTATAATCACAAGATACAATTAATATATACCCGAAATTATAACGAAAGTAATTTTATTAGATTATATATATACTAGTTTAGTTTAGATTTAGTATTGATCCAGGTATAAATACCTTATCAGTTCTATTCTTCAATCTATACCCTTACCCTCTAAAACTACTCGCTTTTCTGTAAACTCGCTTAGTACCCCTTTAGTCTCGAGCCGGTGATAAAACGATTCCCGCTATTTTGAACTATACCATGTATCCTTTCTCCGCTGATCTTAGTTGATGTCTGTAAGTCGATCTAGGATATGTGTTCTTTTGAAATTATGTTCTGTATCGTATTACCGCTGCATGGTCGGAAGTCTTCACATTTGACTGAAATATCGGTTACTGCTTCAATAGGTTAGATGTGGTTAATATTTTCAGATTCAAGATCAACTATGCTGACCATGTACAGTCGTGAAGTACTCGACATCAAAACTAAAAATGTAAAATTATATATAAACTCATTCTAGCAATCCCTTTTAATTGTGCACATAATTGCTTGCAACCAGTACAAGCGAGCGACTAAATTCTTTGAAACCCATTCACAGCAATTTTCGAAGTTATGATGTCCCGAAAATAACAACTATTATTTGATATGACTATACTAGTCAAAGAACGATATTTTCGAGCCATAGTTCAATCCGATTATAAATAAATAAAAGTTATATAAGTTCTTATTTTCCATTGCTTCTCCAGCTTTTTTTCTCTCCATCACTCGAAATCAACCGCCAAATATCACAGTCACGACAACGATGCCTTCTCTTCCAATCCACCTACCTAGCTCTCATGCTGCAGCAAACCTCATCATTCGAGCTATGAATGAAACTCAATACGTATCGAACACCACTATACCAAAGAATTACACAACTCGAAGCGATAGCCCGGGTTACACATCTGATCAATACGTAAAATCAATATCCAAGCTTCTAGCCCCTTACATCTGTTATATCGGCATTGGGATTTCCATCATCGGCACCGGGCTCTTACTCATATTTTTACGTTGCCTCCTCAAGTGCCTCGATAGACCATGTCGAAGTAGATCACTCATATATCCCATATTTGGAGTTGCGCCTCCCAGCTACAGGGAAAGCGTAGATACGCTACCGCCTTACAGCGCTGTGGAGGTGCCGGTTGAGATTACTACGCCACCACCTGTTTATACACCATGAGCATCGATTTTGGGGGATCGTGATAATACTTGGGAGATGATGGAAGCTCTAAATGTTCCAGACGAAACAACCACAAACTTCTCTTTGAGTACATAACTAAGATTATACTGGGCAATATCAACACTTTGTTTTGGTTAGACGTCTATATTCTAATCCGTAGCATCAAAACTGTCCATAATATTGGAAATCTTTAGGATATCTAATTATATCTCAAATATTGAGTTTCCTAAAACATTTACCTCACTTGTACTGTTGTGTTGAATCAGGGGTGGGCATAAGGTGGGGGATTAGGGTAATACCCAGGGTAATCTGGGGTAAGTTTGGCCGAAAAAGCCCTCCTATTGAAACTTTATAAAGTAGGGTATTAATTGCTTGATAGAATTGCTTGGGTATTATGATACCTAGGGGAATACAACACATGAGGTCATATACTCCATATTTATAGTTTATAATTAAGATTATACATTCAGTAATACAATTGGGATTATAGAATTTATATAAGAATTAAAAATATTTTAAATTAGAACAGTATATCAAACAATCACACGAATTTTTACCAATAAATACTATAATGTCCATCGATATTGTCAAATAATCATCCTGTGAAACCTTTATAGGGAAGGGTAAACATCCTATATAGGTCAAATATCCCGGGTAGGGACGGGTATCTATGTCAGTTGAATTTTTTCATCATTCGCCTATAATATCCAGGTTCATCAGACCATACCATTATGGTGCTAGTGTCACTGCCTAGAATGTCTAATTCAAACTTTATCATAATGACACATTTATCACGCACCAGAATGAAGGGGAAAAAACGGCGTCATCTAGCCTGAAGCTAGCACAAGCGAGCCCTTCGGTGTAAAAGCACCTTCTTTCATCGGTAACGAGACAGTTCCATCTTCACAACCATTTCAAGATTTCCAAATTCTTGAAAGACTACCACCATGGAGGTTAACTTCATGCTTTCCCCTCACACAATAAGTTTCGTGAACTCCAGTTGTATTTTGATGTTCGACCTATCATGTTGCCAAGTTTCCAATAGTCCGGAAAGGAATATATATCCAAGAGTTCAATTTCAAAAAGAGCCAAGATGTATTTTAGTTGATCGAGTATTTTGTAGAATCTGAGATTGTTTAAAATCCCAAACCACTTCATGAATCTCATTTGGGTTAATTACATAAATTGGATTCCAAATTCAAAAACCGTCATGATTGAACAACACTCAAGGGTATTACATCGTCGATCTCAGTAAACTTGTCCAAAACAAGCTAAAATTTTAACTTCTGGTGAGTACTAAAATTCAGGGATTTCTACACTTAGAGCGTTTGTAGCATAGCGGGCGCGCCCACCTCCTCCCCGCCTTCCCCAAACGCCCCTTCGGGTGGCAAACACCACCTACGCAATCATCGTAGACTCACCTCTTGTTATATCACACTATCCATTTATCGAATATATACTTTTCTCGGCTTTTTTTACAATAGTTTGAAGTGAGGATGGAGCAGTGAATGTTCTATACACACTAAGTGCCTAGCTTTTGAAGCTAACTCCAAGCGAAGTGAATTAAAATTCCTAATATATACAGAAAAGGAGGCTAGTACAGAAATAGTGTATAGTTAATAATTCAACGGGTTTTCATATCCTTAGATGTATAGTTTATTATTACAGTTAATAGCTTTACCATTATGATAATCCACTTTTCTTATACCTATAAATCTGTCATCTTTGCAGCTCCATCTTCTTCCAGCAAAGTGGAAATCAGAAACCTTTCTTCATATCGAGCGAACAATAAAAATTTTTATACACCAATTCGAATGTCGATGGGAAGGGGGATACTATGGCACCGATTTCTTTCCTGGAGGCTGCAAATGAGGCTGTAATGTAATCTTACAGCTATGACTCTTTGGAGAATGGCTTTGGACAACGGGAAATATAAACTGGATCTTGGGAACATGGTGACGCTTGCTATAAGCTCTGATTACTGGTGTTCGTGGAAGTTTCTTATTTTGGGGAGGGTGCGGGGATGAAGTTGGAAATTAGGGCGTTGGCCTTCGCTTTATTATGTGTGATGGGTTGGAAAAGGGTTTGATTTTGTCGAGTGGATTTGTCTGATATTTGGGATTTTATGAGAGGGGGATACGTTCAGGTTGTGGCTAGCCGTATCAATACATGCAAAATAGAAGGGGACCATACACAAATGAAAGAGAGAATTCGCCGATTTTTGTGAATTGATTTGTCATTAAAGATGATCACAACATATAATCACTAAGAATAACGAAGAAAATTATTTTTGAAATTCCAGTATTATTCTCACCTGACAAGTAACCAATACCTGAATATAGTTTGTAAGATTTTTGTAATCAGCATCGAGCAAAATCCTCTAACTCACTCCAACTTTGAACAAGGCGAAAACCCTACGACAACATTCCACACCCGGTACCTCGCACTAGACTCGCTCCACTGTTTCCACATTTCCATTACCAGCTTCAATTTCCTTAGCTGGAGCAGGCGCACCAGTACTTTCCGTTTGCTTCAACGCGAATTTTTTTTCATTAACAGGGTCGATACCCACGGCTGTCAATCTTCTTTCATCCATTCTGTCCTTAACAATAAAGTTCACATATAAAGGATAAATGTATGCCAACACAAATGCCATCATGGGAATTAACATGGCCATATGGAATGGTTTCTTGCTTCCAGAATTTGTTAAATGCGTGGCTACAGCACCAGTCATAGGTGGAAATACTGCTCCTCCAGAAATAGCAGCTACCAAGAGTGATCCTCCGAGCTTAGTATGTCGACCGAGACCACGAAGGCCGAGGGTAAAGATCGTAGCGAAACAGGCGGATTCGAAACACAGGACCAGAACTAGACAGACGATGCTGCCATTACCATGAGATTGAGAGGCAGAGAGAACGAAGAGCCAGGATAGGAAAAGGTAGGCTGCTAGTATGTAGCGAGGTTTGAAGACTTTGAAAGTCATAAGACCACCGGCTACGAAACGGTTGAAAGCGTAAAGACCTTGTGCTGCAGCGAATATGTCGGCTAGCTGTGATTAGTGGGTTGTTTAGGAGTGACTAGGACTGGGAGACATACAGCTAGTAGGTGCATCTTTGCCGGCTTCTACACAGAAGTTCACAAAGTAATTTGCAACCGAAACTTTTTTGCATTAGCATCATGTTTGCTGCCCGGAAAAAGGCTATGATCCTTACCTTGTGCACCAATATAACAGAACATACTACAAACAGCAAGGAATAGATTGAATTGTCTTTTGAATGGTCCAGGGTCATAATCAGCAATTTCCAATTCTTGGGTGCTCATATCAGCATCCGTAATTTCTGGCATTGGTGCCAAATAAAATAAGATAATCAATAGACCGACAAAACCAGCAACACCGAGGTATGTCCATTGAACGTTCTTGAGCCCTTGATCATTGTCGACTGTCTTAGCGAAAAACACACGAGAAGCTAGAAGTGGGGCGACGAAAGAACCGACAGCTTGAACAGCCTGTGCGAGGTTGAGTCGAATCTCGGAATATCTTGGAGGACCGCAGATGGAGAGGAAAGGATCTGCTGCGGTTTCGAGAGTTGATAATCCGGCTCCGACAACGAACATGCTACCGCAGTATCCGCCAAATGAATGTTTCACTCCGCTTGGCCACATTAAAAGACAACCAACAGCAAGAACACAAAGTCCAGTCATGAATGTGACTCTAAATCCCCATCTTCGAAGTACCAAGCCACTTATTGTTGTTGGGCAGAGCGCATAAGCACCAAAGTAGGCGGCTGATAGGCCAGAGGCTTTCGAAGCGGTAATGTTGAGGGAAGTTTGGAAATGAGGATTTAAAACATCTAGAAGTCCGTACGCAAATCCCCTATAATATATTAGCAAAAATCCATATCATTCATTCAGAAATAATTTTGGTTACCAGAGGAAAAAGAGAATTGTGACTGTATGAATCGACGAATTAGTTTCAATAAACAGGATGGTACCTGACCGATTAAAACCCACCTAGAAAATTCGGTATAAGTGATTGTCGCAATGTCAGATGTACCGCAGATGTAACCACATCATCAGCAACGGTGATTTTCCTCTTCCACAAACCCATAATGATTTCGTTCTTTTATTATGTTCACACTTATCAATACTTGTACGCTGTGATTAGCCTAAAGTCTGAACGGATGTACGAATTTCAAGCCTGACGCCATTAAAAAGAAAGCGTAGGATATTGCTGATTTGAGTAGCAGGAAGATGATTCTTAAAATTTATAATACGATGCAATCTAAAAACAAAAACTTTCGGTCCAAAGTCATACAAAGCCTAGCATTCCTCTCCGAGGCGGGGGATGCGTGCAAAAGAGATCATACCATCATAAGAAGACTGTATTCACTGAGATTATACGGCAAGGAGAATATCTCGTTGGATGATATGCCGAGGAGTGAACCAAGTAAAAAGTCGGGGTAGCTTCGCCGCTTCCACTTTCCTGAGGTGGGTTAGATGTAAATTTGCATTTGCATGATGATCATTTGTCCAATTTGGTATGTGTTAGGAAGCTTTGAAGGTGCTCATTCGTTACCCCTCCTTGATAGATATTTGAAACCGGGAACTACCACCAATGAAATATATCGGTCATGCAGTGGTACTTGCAAGAATAGTGTGTATGGGATCGATGAACTCATCCTGTCCTTGGCCATAAAGCTGCCTTGTAGCACACGTGCAACTACATATACGAAAATGAATAAAGCAAACGAGAATACTGCTAACAATCACATGAGAACAATCACCAACTGTGGCTATCGCGAGGATGAGTACGTAACTACTGACAGGTCAAACGTTTCGAACAAGACAATGGGAAGAGATTAGGATCCATCTTGTATTTTGAGACTGGTTCGAAACGGTAATTTCTCTCTTTTCTCTTACTCAACAAAAGTAGGCATAAAATTAGATCACCAAAATGGTTGGGAATTAAGAGTAACCTTTAAGTTTTATCACGTGCCCACACCTCTTTCCCCACCAACACCACATGATTCGAGAATGGATCCCAATGGAGTGGTATAATATTGTACTAAAGCTTTATTAAAGTCATTCAATTTAAACCTGAGCGTATCCAGTTTTGAGCTAGACATTCAAGGTTTCCAAGAATACCTAAATTATCCGCTCCGATTAGTCACGTTTTTAATAAACGGATTGGTATTAGACTGGATCTTATGTCGCTAGCTATAGAAACTGTAAATGGGCTGTGTAAAAATAATCTACGGGTTGTAGATATCCATAAGTAACCTGCTCTACAGGTTATTATTACAAAGGTAACAGTCAACCTATCTATATAAATTTGAACCTTATTGAAAAACAAAACAATTTGTATACAAAATTGTATAATAATTAACTCTCAAAATCTCTCTACTCTTAATAAACTTGAATATACCAAGGGCCTGCGCCCCCCGGACCCCTGGCTTTTCAAGAAAGTCTAATAAAAAGTTTATAATAAATTTAAATATTGAATATATATCAGGGTGTAGATAGAATATTGACTTGTTTGTGATAATTGAAAACCAATTTTTTTTATTTAAAAATAATAATTATAATTATTATAATAATAATAATAATAATAATAATAAGTTGAATTGAATAAATAGAGTTGAATTGAATGATTTCAATAGAGAAAAAAAGTTTTAAGTCAGATTTGTCTGAGGTTGTAAAGCTTGGTTATGTCAAGCTTTTTGTTAGATTATTTACCGGGGTATTTACCGGGGTATTTTAGACCAATCAGATTATCAGGATCGCGATTCACTTAAGCGAGTTTCTTATTTTCCATGACCTTACACCGGGTAAATTGCGATACACTATGTGTACAATAAGGTTTTGGTTTCGGCAAGCCGATAATAAATTACTTATGAATTATTTATAAATTAATAGATTATTTAGAAATTGATAAATATCTATAAATAAACTATAAATTATTTGTAATTTATTTATTCAAATTCTTCAATTACCTACCCCGCAAATAGATCATCTGTAGGTTACCCTTCAAAAGTAATAATCCGCCCTGCAGGACCCTGTTGCTCAGCTTAACTGTAAAGCACAGTGCAGGCTGAGTATCTGTAAAGTTTGACTACTGAACAAATGTCTTCAAGAATTCAATATAACAGGAGTTGCATAGAAGGACGTTGGACGGCCGCTTGGTAAGCGGCATTTAGTCTTTGCTTCAATACAAGATCTGCCTACTACCGATATCGTGGGAGAGTCCAGAAGTTACAGAATGCGGGCTCGTGTAGGCTCACAAGTCTTTATCAGAAGTACCTGGTTCTGAAATTCTTTCCTTCACATGAAGCCTGTTAAATGGACCTTCGGGGCGTTTCATGCCTGAATTGTGCTTTTTTGTAGACATGGCCGACGTGATTTTTTTGGGCGAGGCTAGAGGTCTCTTGGTAGCTATAGATGGGGATGGACATTTAGTTTTCTCAAGTAAAGACAACAATGTCGGTGATTTTTCCGAGTGCCTAGCTCCACTCTATCAATCCACATTCTAGCTACATCGTGTCAAGTGAACGTGATTCTTATTATTGAATGAAAGCTCCGAAATTTATTTCCTTTCGCATTATCGACTTCTAGCGATCTCATGTTTATGTTATTCGTCAATCACAGAACAGGCGCTACTCCCATCTTGATAAAAGGACATCAACTGTATTCGTGACTGCCTCAAAAACTTATCGAGCCCCCGCTATTTTTCCCCTTTTCTCCTGCCCAAAATGTTTCGTCGAACGCATAGCTCCTTAATGACAAACAGTCAATATTGCTTCCACTTCATCTATTATTTCTATAATATCCCATCAACATCATATCAACAGCCTTATTGTACGAACTTACTCATACTCGTTCTCAGCATCCTAAACGTTTTCTATTTATAATTGAAAAATACATTGCTATGCTTCCATATTGCCCAACCACTCGCAACCCGTTCATTGGAGATGTTCCATCCCAAGAAGAACACACCAATCCACCTGGAATAGGCTCGCAGCAACACAACTTGCGGTCTTCAAATCACTACAAAAGCTTCGGAAATGGACCAGATACTTACTACCCACAATACTGCTCTGCGGATTCGAATTTCCGGTACCCGAAGCACAATGAAATCATTGGTACACGGAGCCCATCTTACCAACCGCCTACGATATCCAATGAATCGAATCCTCCGCAGCCGCATTTATACTTCCCTGATGGACCCAATGCCACCTATCCACCTCCTCACATTGTTTATATGCCAGAATTTTTCAATAAATTCGACCCTCATGGCCTACGGCCTGAAGATTATGCAAATTTCCCATTATTCGAATTATCACGCCAAGAGCTGCGTTCGCAGCTAAATTCAATAGGCCGTGAGATCAGTCTACAAACCGTGGGAAGCACCACTGCAGCTTCGAAATATCTAGCTTATCTTGGGAATCCTGAGTTTCTTATACTTTATCTTGTATGTTGGAGTTTATCATTCTTAATTTTTTAACTTCAATTCTAACTTATAAAAAGGTTATATTGGGACAGTTTCTCACACAGGGAGGTCAGGTTTACTATGTCAAGCTTCCTCCAGCGACTCCGGAAAATCCCACCCCCACCTTACCCGCTATGCCATCTTTTTCAAGCACTCTTCCAATCAGGCAAGATGCAAGCAAAAGAGGACGCGATAAAAGTGAGGGTTTTGGAGGCAGGGAAAGCTCTCGTAGAAAACTGAATCCGGTCGACACAACTGATTATGTGCTGGACTTTACTCCACTTACATCCGTTGATACTACGCCCAATAATGACTCTTCAGCTGAATTCTCTCGGCAGCCAGTCCCATCCAAAAAACACGTTGTCGTTGAATTCGGGGATGCAGTTTCTGTATCATTGAATCTTGATAAACCTCTAGGAGCTCGTCGTGAGCCTGTAACAACTGCGGGCTATCCTTTTCCCGTAATGTATGATGAATCACTTCAAAATCTTATAGCTCATGAGAAGTCCCCAAAACCCGCCTTCTCATCCACGGCATCCAATATTTCTAGTCCTTTCAGTCTATCCGTTGAAGCAACCACCCCAGACAGATCACCCTATGCATCAATTTCCGCTAGACCACTTGCTCCTGAGCCATTGCTACTTCCCGAAAGTACTTGCTTTATTCGTTGCGATCCCGATCAAGGTATTAGAATCCGCATTCTACCTAAGACAACGGAGAATTCGGAAATAACATGGATCGATCTTCCCGGAATATGGATCCACACGACGAAGCAAAAATTACCACAAGGGTGAGTACAATATCTGAATGAACACAAAGACGGCGCTGATATCCATGCAGAGTTTTAGTAATGGGCTTTTCAGGTTGGATCTACTCAGAACAATGGATCTCGGCACTATACCAGGAAGTGTTGGTTCATGAATCACTGAGGGGATGTGAGCAAGACCATGTCAAATCTAGACATGAATGGGAACCGGCAGATACAGTCTCTGGATGTAAAGATGAATATATGGAATATACTTCCGATACGGCAGGTAATCCCAAACCCGTACGCAGGATAATACAGTATCCCAGCGGCGATGATTTAGGCGTAAATTGGTCCGCATCGGAAGCCGAAAACACAAAAGCCAAATTGGCTAACAAGAGAGAATTTTCGGTAAAATGGAAAAGAGAGGTGCGAGAGTCAACATGGCCCTGGTATCTTTGGAGACAATTTGGATTGTCGAGGGGTTGGATAAAGGAACCCGAGGAATTTGGGGACAGAATGAGGAATAAAGACGATGCTGAAGAACTAAGAAGAGTAGTTACTGTTGGTATTTTACCGGTAGGTTTTGAGGATATGAATGAGGCTTTGAACGGAGAGACAATTACTCAGTTTGGAAGCAGCTGGACTTTAAGACACAAGTATTCTGGAGGCCCTAAATGGGATAGATTATAAGTGGATATGAGGCCTGTGATGTAATTGCCTAGCAATAATACAGCGATAATTTAATGTAGTACCAGCGAATATCAATGAGTTGAAACGAGAGAAATAAGTCGTGGTGTCTCGTCCAATCCTCATGCATACTGATCATCCACCTCGTATATCACGTGATGAACATCGTGTTTGTTGTTGCGTTCTAGGACTTTGGAAATTGCTGTAAAAGCGAATTAGTGCAAAGACCTCTTACAATGATAGGCCAAATAGAAGAAATTTCGATATAAGCCAGCTGAATGCTTGGAATGGAACGGCAGCTTTAGAGGGTACGGATGGCATGCGTATATTAAGCACTAGATAGCCCCCACTGAAACGCAGACGGATACTTCAAAAAGCTTTAGCATATATGCGGTCGAACGCAAAGGAGTTTTTAGTGAATGTGGTGAGTCGTGGAGCTAGGTTGAAGCGAGAAATAATATGCTCTTGAATGAATGTCAGGTGATCAGAGATTGCAATTGTGGATTTTAATCTCGAGACTATTGGACGCAATGATAGTAAAGTCTACGGTGGATAGTGTGAAGCTCATATGTATCTGAGAAAGAGAAGGACAGAAAGGCGGACTAGCAACAAGTCGTTGGTTGCCTGAGCACATAGCGTACCAGGGAATTCAACCACATCGCTTTGCTTTTTTCGGGGTGGCCGATGACTATTCCACTCGTCGTTTGCGCATGGGAGCTAGAGCCGCATTGACAACCTGGATGCAAGAAAGAAAGCAATCGAGAAACTACTAATAGGGCTGAGGAGCTGCATTGTAGTGGCTACCGATTAGGGAGATCTTAATAGCTAGGTCAGATATATCCTTTTGTGAAGCTCTTTAGCTGTTGTTAGACCACTGAAGGTGTTCCCTTCCATGTGGCGGGGGTGGGGGGTGGTACGACAAACCAAAGAAGCGGGTGATAACACGGATAAAAACCGTGAAAACTAACATTGAGGTTAACAGGGGGTCGTTTCGGCACGACGCACTCATCCAAGCGGCACTTTAATTTAGAACTTGACATCTTTAGATTTTAGATCTTGACATCGAAACCTCACCACTCACCTCAAGATATATGAGACAGACGTCGTCATCATATGAGACAAGGTATATCTTCATCTGGGACGGCATCTTACAGGCTAGTCGATGATGTAGTATAAAAGGAAATAGGAAGGTGGCCAAAGAGTGGAAGATTTCTAGCCCCCATTTATCGTGAAGCCCCTGCGATTTATCCGGACTAACCAATAAGAGCCTCTTTTTACCCGATTCGGAAATTACCCCTGTGTTCAGCGCGCCACAAATGTGTGGCATTTTGCTAGTTGATAAATTACGGTGAAAATATGTACCATATATGTTAAAACGGGCACTTGTGAAAATCATGAAAGATTCCGACCGTTTTGCTTCATCATCATCCCATTGTTGTCACCCGCTAACCCTCGGCATTGAAGGTTGAATAATCGCAATGCAGGTAAGATGTATGAGCAGATGAATGGGGCGTGAGGCGATTGATAGACGTCGAGTGAGATAGGAGCGCAATGGCGATTTTGAGTGTGTTTAGTGAAGGATTGAGGTTGGAATTCAGGAGAGATTTGGTAGGATTCCATTGAATTTCCTCAAATTCCCTTGCTCGAAGCTGGGCTGGCTAACATTTTAATTCCTCTTGGATCTGTAGAATCAGAGTTCTGATCCGAGAATTGGTTCTTCAAGAGACAACTCCACGAGTTCGACCGTAACAGCTGCAGCATCAGGGTCAAATTCCTCGTCATTTTCTGCACTGTTCTCCACTTTGATACCCGTGGGCGTTTTTGCTGCAGTTTGTACCATCTCATTCTTGGTGTTACGGAGAAAGTATCCAAGGGTATATTCCCCAAGAACTTTCTTGAGTAGTCTAGAACCTCAGTAAGTTCGATGGCCCAAATGGGAAAACATAAACTAAAAGCATAATAGTGAACGAAGTAAGGAATTACCATCTGGATGGTTCAATTGGGTGAAACCTTTCTTCAATACCCCGGATGAGGTAGTACTTAACCAATCTTCACTCGATGGGTACCTATTTCTCAGATTCCTCAAGATTATGTGTGTCATATGTCTTGTGGGATGTGGTCTCGTATTTCCTGTTCTGATACCAGTACATGTACTTGGAGGTGCCGGTAATGAGCAACTTGATCGATTGACATTTGGAAATGTTACCAACACCCAAATGTATTATGTGCATGCATTTTTGGCGTGGCTCTATTTTGGTGAGTTTAATTCCCTAGAAGGAAGATTTCACTAATGAACTATTAGGGTTTATCATGTATACAGTCTCACGAGAGTGCGTTTACTACATTAATCTCCGCCAAGCTTATCTGCTTCATCCTTATTATGCTAAACGTCTGTCATCGAGGACTGTTCTGTTTACATGTGTCCCCCAACAAAATCTAGAGGAAGCTAAGTTACGAAAGGTGTTTGGCGATGCCGTCAAGCATGTTTGGATTCCAAGGGAGACTGGCGAGCTGCAGGACTTGGTGGACGAAAGAAATCAAACTGCATATCGACTGGAAAGAGCGGAGACGATATTGATCAAAATTGCAAATAAAGAAAGAAACAGAGCTCTTAAACATGGTCACCCGGATCTTGAATCAAGTATCTGTATCGATTCTGTGCAAGAGACAAAACGAGAATCCACAGCTACTGGGACTCGGAGACTAAGCTTGGTTAGAAGTTCAGCTGATGTGATGCCTAGGGATAGCGAGATGTTGGAAGTTCCCATCACACCTAAAGATACTTTAGTAGGATCAAACTCTAATTCAATTAATGGTACGGCGAAGGAAACCACAGCCCCCGAAGTAGAGATGTCACAGACAAGTTCTCAAGCTACCACTGACGTAAATCCCGCTACCCCTGCCCTCAAATGGGGAGACAATGGTTATGGAATGTCCGGGCCTCCTCTTGGAGTAAGCGGATCAATTGCTTCACAATGGATTCCTCACAGCTGGAGACCAACCCATCGACCATTATCAAACTATGGAAGAAGTGTAGATACCATTAAATGGACACGGAATCGACTGAAGGAAATTGGACCTCAAATCAGCAAATTGAGGAGAAATCATCGCCAAGGAAAAGTTAAGCCATTACCGGCCGCGTTCATCGAGTTCGATACCCAAGTTAATGCTCAATCTGCGTATCAAACACTCTCTCATCATCGGGCATTCCATATGAAACCACATATTAATGGTATTCGACCACATGAAATTGTATGGGACTCACTTCGAATGAAATGGTGGGAGAGAATAATGCGCAACTTTGCAATCCAAGGCTTCGTTGCCTGTCTAGTTATATTTTGGTCCGTTCCCTGCGCATTTATCGGAATTGTATCCAACATCAATTTCTTGGCAAAAAAAGTCCCATTTCTTGGTTGGATCAACAAACTGCCCTCTTCAATTCTTGGTGTGGTTACGGGCTTGCTACCAGCTTTAGCATTGTCAATTCTTATGGCATTGGTTCCAGTGATCCTCCGAACTTGTGGTCGTCAAGCCGGGATACCATCTTACTCGATGATTGAACTATATACACAGTCTACCTACTTTGTATTCCAAGTGGTACAAGTATTTCTCGTGACCACCATCACCTCAGCAGCATCCGCTGCTTTCGAAAAAATCGTCGAAGATCCAACTTCCGTGCGATCACTACTTTCGCAAAATCTGCCCAAATCATCAAATTTCTACGTCTCATATTTTATCCTCCAAGGTCTTGCCATGTCCGCTACGCGATTATTACAACTACCTGCGCTGGTTCGTTATTTGATATCTCAAAATGAACAAAGTCCCAGAGTCATGATCAATAAATGGCACAAAATAAGAGTCGTACATTGGGGAGCTGTTTATCCCGTCTTCACAAATATGGGCGTAATAGCAATTACATATTCACTAATTAGTCCATTGACTATTGTATTCGCACTCATCGGATTATCTCTGATTTATATTGTATCAAAATACAATCTTCTCTACACATATTCCTCAGAAATATCGACGCGGGGGCTGTTGTATCCCCATGCTCTTAAGCAGCTACTCACAGGTGTATATCTTGCAGAAATTTGCCTCATTGGTCTTTTCGGATTACGAAGCGCATTTGGACCATTGGTGATCATATTCGGATTAACAATCTTCACTGCATTAATTCATGTCAGCCTCAATGAAGCCCTCGGACCACTCCTCTGGAATCTCCCTCGAACTCTGGCGGTCGAAGAACTATATCGCGGATTAGCATTTAATTCCGATCTCCAAACACCTATGCCTACCACAAATAGAGTCGGCAACACAAATGAAAACGGCGATTCATTCTTCCCAATGCAAACTCCTCCACAATCTCAATCGCAACCAGCAGTCTCAACGTACATAGTCCATCGTATGTCCAGTACCCCAAATGTTCAGCCGACTATTCCTGAAGAAAATGAAGATGAAAATAACTCCTCCAATTCCTCCAATAAAGACTCCGACGACGAAGAAGATGACCACGAACTCAACCCGCAAACCCGGTCTATCCATCCCAAAAACATCGAGGGACTCCCTCACCTCTCAAAACTAACCTTCACCTTCCTCATCACCGCCATCCGCTCAAAATTCCAACCGCATCTCCACAAACTCACCCCTTATTTCATCTACCTAACCCCCATCATCTCCCCCACTTACGACCCCCTCAAACCCCCCAACTTCCTAATCAAATTCCTTCACCCAGAAATCTTCTCCGACTACCACATCTTGCGCTCTCTGACCGCTCCTCTCCCACCCATGGACTCCAGTTTCGAGTACACAACAAAACAACACGAAGATGCATATTTTCCACCCTGCGTAGCACGAGGACATGATCCCAAACTGTGGATCCCGAGAGATGACGCCGGCGTCAGTAAACAGGAATGTGAACACACGAGAAAGATTGCGGGCGTGGAGTGTAGTGATGAGGGAGTGGAGATGACTAAGGAGGGGAGGATCGTGGTTCGGGATTTGCAGGGCGAAAATTGTATTTGGAGTAGGGAGACGAGGTTTTAGGGTTGGAGCTAGGGGTTCGGGTCCGGGAGCGGGAGTTTGGAGAACTTTGGGAAATGGCGTTGAGTTGGTTATGATGTGATGACTATGGATTAGTGTTTTGGTTCTTTTATAGAGATTTTTAATAGATTTCGTGATGGCGTTGGAATATACATAAGGTTTCATAGTAAGGCTTTAGGCGTTTTTAATTTGATGATAGAATATCTGAATTATTCTTCACTGCTTTGAAAAATCCAAATATGAATTATCCTTTTGGGGAAGTGATCAGAAGTAAGTACAACAACGCTCATCGAAAGCACTCAAAGAAATCATCAACTCATCATCATTGGGCACTCCTCGATTAGATCAGACCAGATTAATGGTGAATTCATAGCTTCATGGTTGATCTGTACAAATTTAAAAATAAGCTGTAATTTTGCCGTCACGACGAACCTGTAGCTGACGTTGAGTATCCTATCGCTCATCCACAAATAACGTACTCACAGCATCCAAGGCCCAATAAATTATAACTAGGTAAAATCCTAGCATCAAAATCCTCAATTCCCAACTCGGAAATTTCCAGACCGCGCAACTATAGTGTCTCACCCCGCACCATTGCCTGCGCGATATAATCTCAACCTCCTTCGTCGAACGACCTATTAATCCATATACTCACTCTCTAACCATCACCATATCACAATTCAATTCAAATATATGAAGTACAATAGTCTAAGTAGGAATATATTTATAGGTCTGGTGCCGATTGTACGCTTTGAGTATTATTGATCTATTCCTCGGGTGATTTTGAGATGTAGATGTTGAGAAATGATATAAAGATATATTAGAGGTTTGATTTTGTGGATAAACATATTTCATATAGAAAATTAGCAATAAAATACTGGAGTATTACTTCCCCATCACGTTCTCTGCTAGTGAGATACATCCCCTAATGAAAATAAGAACCAGCCACTGCCTTTGTCTTCGCCCACGCCCTATCCAGAGCCTCAACCACCTTCTCCCCCAGAGGAACTTTCTCCAAATCCTCTAAATTCTCTCTCAAATGTGCCTCACTACTCGCGCCAATAATAATTTTATCTCCCCTCCCCGCCTCCAACAAACTATGATGCATCAACCATCTCAGGGCACATTCCACCTCTGTAAGCGCTTCTTTATTTGCTGCTCCGCGGATGATATCTAGTGCGTCAAACATGGTGTCGTTCCAGTATCTTTTGCGGTAGATTTGGCCTTGTACATGGGATGCGTCGAAGCGGGAGCTAGCTTCGACGGATTCTTGATGGCGGTGGTAGCGCGAGGTTAGGTAGCCTCCTGCGATGGGGTTGAAGGCGTAGAATGACATGTTGTAGTGGTGGAGACAGGGGATAAGTTCTGGTTCGATGGAGCGTTGGATGGCGTTGTAGACGCCTTGGTAGACTGTTGGGCGGATCCACTTTGTTGATGTTAGTTTTGGTTATTTTATGTATAGGACGAATGATTGATGAAAAGACTTACGTTATTTTTAATGCACAATTCTTGAATTTGTGCAACTTCCCACGCTGTGTAATTACTGATTCCGAATCTGTTGAACTTTCCCTCTTTATGCAAAACATCACACATGGCAAGAGTCTCCTCGTAAGGTGTACTCCTATCCGGAGCATGCAAATAGAAAATATCGACTTTCTCAACTCCTAGAGCCTTCAAACTCTTATCCAAATGTAGTCTGAGATCATCAGCTGAATGCGTGATTTTGATCCCATTAGTGTTATAAGGATACAGTTTGGTGGCCATGATGATACCACGATCAGGATAAGAAGGTTGAAGTTGGCCGAGATATTCTTCCGAGGAACCCAGGCCGTAGACGCGGGCAGTGTCTATCTCGTTGTGGCCATGTGACTGGAATATTTCGATCATGGAAGTGACATCTTTGATATCGCCAACGCGGACTTGCATTACGCCTTGATAGATATCAGTTCCGTGGGCTTTCAATTCTGGTTGAAATTGACTTACCGGGCTTTCCAAATGTCATTGCACCCAAGACAATAGGGAGCTTGGTGTTAGCCTTTGTTTCTGGTGCCATATTTACTGATGGTTGTGTGGCTTTCAACTATAGATTTTGAAGATGGAAAAAGCAGCTTTGCCTCGATATATTAAAGTCTTGCTGAAGGATTTGGTGAACAAACGAGTTGATCTTTTATGGCTATGATCGAATATGAGATATACAGAATAAAACCACATAAAGATTCAATAAACACATTATATATTTCTAGCATTTTCAACAATTAGCCGAGAAACGACAATTTGTCTCTCTGTCTCCATCTGGCGATAACGGACTTTACTCTCTGTGCCGGAATTAGACTGGGTGATGGGGTTAAGATTTCGGCCGATGAAGGGATCGAATTCTTTACCGAAAAGCAATGCCGATGTACAAATAGAATAGTGATCCATATAAGTGGAGCGCGGCAGACTGCCGAATATACAATACCCATCCATTTCTAAGTTGATGCCCACTTTTACACCAAAATAGCCAAAACAAGCTACAAAAGATGAAAATATTTCATGGGGTTCTGCCTTGATCATATCATAGAAATAGATTTCTAAAATTTCAAGTGGAAATACTGAAATCTCCAATTTGAAATGCCCTTGTTATTATCATTGTAAATATCATCATTTGTTAATATGAATAAAATTTGATATAATGAGGTCTTTCGACTAGTTTAATGAATAACTCAAACAATAATGTCAGCTAGTATCGTATCTATCGAACTCTCTTTGTCCATCTGAAACTAAAGCATATATCGAAAGTATGGATTCTGTCTGTCTGTCAAGTCTTGAAACGCCATTTTATCTCTATTCTCCTCGTCTAATCTGGAAGATGCCAGTTAGCACGATTTCGTCAAAAACTGACACTTTTGGTACAAACAGAATGGTCGTAACGGAAGTTTCAATGGTTGTGCATCGACGCAATACGATAATTGCGGGTTTATCACAATGTTATAGATATTGATGAAAGTGGTGCGAACTTACTCCATTAATACTCTCTTTCGATTCTCCCTTGCCAGTACAATATACAGCAACACACCAGCCACAATAGTAATACAATAGCTACTTCGCATTAGTATTCATGCCGTGTAGACAAGTTGGTTCAAACCTACCAGATGATCAATCCCAACCAGAGTTCTGGATAGTGTCTCGACTTCGTTTGTGATATGATCAATTGAGGTCCTACAATATTACCCACACAATATGCCACAAAAATAGTCGCTGCCATAAAACATTTCTTTGTTTGTCCCGCAACATTTGCCATACCAATCGTGATGATCAAGCTCACTACTGGACCAAAGAACCCAATTATGGTGTATCCAACGACTGGAGTCGCTGCATGATAATACCAGGAGCTTTTCCTTATCATTGCGCAACCAGCAATCACTGGAAGACAACACATGATGAGGAGTATAATGCGGATATTGGAGATATGCGATGAGATGTAGCCGGTAAGCAGAATGAAGACGAAGCATATTGCGCCCAGAGGAAATTGGAACAAAATGGAATCGAGAGTTGAGTACCCAAAAGTGGAAACGATAAGAGGGCCAAAGCCACTAACTGCTCCATTGACAGTGTAAGCTGAAGCCATCATAATGGCCACCAACCATACTTTGATATCAAGTAAAGACTCCTTGATTTGGTACCATTTGAATTTAGTACAACGGATGCCTGTTTGCCCATATCTCAGACGTTCTGTCGCTACCATACGCTCATCGATCGTAAGAAACCAAGCAGAGACGGGGGAATTAGGCACGAAGAAAGAACAAATCCCAAAAAGAAAAGTAAGAGATCCAGCAAGTAAATAAATATACTGCCAGCGTTTAAGATCTCCAGCTTCGATTTGTCCAAATCCATAATTCAGTGCCCCGCCAATAATGGTAAAAGCACCAGTTGAGGAAAACCACCAACTTTGTCTTAAGGATTGCTCAGACTGTGTATAAAAAGAGCTGATTATACACATGAAACCAGTTGGAATGATACTTTCGACGAAACCTAGGAAGAATCGTTGTGCATATAGACCGCGCCAATTTGTCACAGCGGCTGTGCACATACAGATTAATGCCCACAAGCACACCACCACGCCTAATATCCTACCCATATTGAATTTTTGTAAGGCAAATGTCATAGGGTATAAACCTGCTAACATGCCAAAGTAAAAAAGAGACGTTGCCCAACTAAGACGAGAGGTATTGGTTGTATGTGGTGTAACATTTGTATTGATGATGGATAGGGAAAGATCAGTCGTCATTCCGAATAGAACTGCGGACCCTAGAATTGCCTAAGGTTACGGAATAAGTAATTTAGACAAGCAACTTGGAGGTACATGTAAGATTTATCATACTTTATCATAATAAACTAATCCATAACCAATGAACATAGGAGGAACTAGAAACCAATCTATCTTCCGAACGACTCGAGCTTCTATGGCGGGGTCAATTTCATGACGATGTTCTCCAACTATAGCTATAGCTATATCTTTATCTTGATCTGAAGACGGTAATGTAGGTTCATGTTGAGTATTTTCAAACACTGGCTTTGCCTGCTTTCCTTCTGCAGCCTCAGACTGGGGAAGAGAACTCATTTTGCGGATAATAGCATAGTCATGGTTATCTAGAAGATTTTTTGATATCGTGAATTTCTGCATAGCCGAGTCTAACCTGCACTAGCCTTACACCTTACAGGTACCGGTAGTGCAGGATGGTTGGGGGCTTAATATAACTTGATTTCTCGTAGCTTGAATTTATGAAGCTATTTCGCGTTACGATGATATTCACGCATGATGTCCTTGTGGGTGAATAAATCGCCTTGGACTTTGATGCGGGTGAGGAAGGGTAGGGATTTGCAATGTTGTGTTGATTTCGTGTATGTTTGTAAGATCTTATCAAGGTAAGATTAACAACCTATTTGACTTCTTCGTGCCAGTGGGAATGGCAGCAAGCCCTTAACTACTAACTCACCAATCGAGCAATACGATTGCTATAAGGCTAGCTCTTTAATAATAAAACGATAAAAATATAAATGCTGGCCTGCCAATGCCCAAGTCACATTCTGCGAACATCCACCAGTGACCTTGACAAAATGATGTCGTTGTGATTGAGTTGTAGAGTAAGGTTACTTCCCCACTGAGGGTCCCGGATTCTACGGAGCAAGCTTTACTAGGTAGCTAGCCCACCAGCCTTGTCTAAGTGGTGTCAGCCTTGCGGAAGTGTCAGCCTCGTAGCACAGCTCAATTATCCAAAAAAATGTCGTGTAACATGCCTTGTGTAATATGAGCCAACGCCAATTGAAAGACAATGATTTCAATAAGGCGAGCAGTCAATAATTCTGCGCCATTGACCTCATTAAGATCTTCAACATTTCCCATAAGAAAGAGTGCAGTCGTCCGATCATTATCGACCACGACCACAACCACAACGTTAACCTCGCCAAATCCTTTCAGAGCATGGCACAAAGAGACAAAGCAACCTCAAACGAGAGGGAATCCACGCCACTTCTCTAATTCAACCAATGTCTCTCCAACTCTCAAACTACACAATCAAACTGTCGGGAAGATATCGGCAAACGTTCGACAATTCTACGAACGAAAGGAGAAATTCCGAATTAATCATGGTTCTACGAATAGTACACGAAATAATGCAAAAGGCAAAAATATAATCAATATCGGTGGATTGTCGCATGTATTGAAAGTCAACGCTACGACTCAGACAGCATGGGTAGAACCAAATGTGCCAATGGATAGATTGGTGGAAGAGACGTTAAAATATGGACTGGTACCACCAGTAGTGATGGAGTTTCCTGGAATTACTGCTGGAGGAGGATATGCGGGGACATCTGGTGAAAGCAGTTCTTTTCGACATGGTTTCTTTAATGAGACGATCAATCGGGTTGAGATGATTTTGGCAGACGGCCAGATTATTCAATGTTCGAAGACTGATAAGCCTGATTTATTCCATGGAGCGGCCGGAGCGGTTGGCAGTATGGGTGTTACGACATTGGTTGAGTTGCAGTTACAAAAAGCGAAGAAATTTGTCGAGACTACATATCATCCAGTATCTAACATGCCAGATGCAATCAAGAAGGTTGAAGAGATGACCGCGGATCCGACCATTGATTATGTGGATGGAATCATGTTTTCGAAAAAGAAAGGTGCTATCATCACTGGCCGCTTGACAGATGTACCAACGGACAATACTCCAGTACAACGTTTTGGTAGTGCTTCAGATCCATGGTTCTACATGCATGTAGAATCCAGTATTAACAATAGTGAATCCGCCCCAAGATTTGCCATACCTCTCGCTGAATATTTCTTTCGATATGATCGTGGAGCATTTTGGGTGGGTGCTTCAGCCTTCAAATACTTTTCTTTCCCCCTCAACAAATTCACTCGATGGTTCTTGGATGACTTTTTACACACGCGTATGTTATATACTGCACTTCACACTGCTGGTATGCCACCTGGGTATATTGTCCAGGACTTGGCTTTACCATATTCCACCGCGACGGAATTTGTAGAATACACGGATGAATATTTTGGAATCTATCCCTTATGGCTCTGTCCATTAAAGCAAAGCGCAATGCCAACCATGCATCCCCATTCCGCCTCCTACGGAGCTGACGGGAAAACTCTCCAACCTCTAATGAACATCGGTCTCTGGGGCTACGGAAAGGAAAAAGACCTCGTAAAAGCCAATATCAGTCTCGAGAAAAAGCTAAAAGAATTGGGTGGTATGAAATGGTTATATGCACAAACCTACTACAACGAAGAACAATTTTGGGAAATGTATGATCGCAAATGGTATGATGGATTGAGGGAGAAGTACCAAGCAACCACTTTACCAAGTGTTTATGAGAAAGTCAAAGCAGCGCCAAAAACCGAGGTAGAAAAACCCTTGAACCTTTCAGAGAAATTCTTGAAGGCGTGGCCTATTAGTGGATTTCATGGGATCTACAAGGCAATACAAAGTAAAACCTATCTAGCAGCCAGGGCTTCTGCATGGAAGACCTTTAATTTGGCGACTATCAAGGAGAAGGAATCCGGTAGGTAGTTTCGACATGAAGTTTATGACCAGGAGGTCATTATATCTCGGCAAACCATGTACACTCACCTCTCAAGATCTATATACATATACCCTACACCAAAGCCCCTCCAAATCATCATGTGTAAATATGCACAAGCAAACCAAAGCTAAGCTAGTTTTGCTCTTGATAGATCCCTAGATACATAGATACCTCAATAGATGAATACTTAAGTATAGTATGTCCTCAATTCCGTCACAATGGCTCCGATATTTACAGAGCTTATTTTCTATATTTCTTAGATTGTTTCTCAATTTTTATTTTTTTATTTTTCAATGGTCTTGTATGATGATTTTGAGCATGGTGGAATGACGTGACGTCCGAGTCATATATTCAAAAAATCCTGCCTTGGGAAGAAATCAAGTGTGCAGAGCATTAGCATCAAGAAGGAGCTCGAGTAGGGTAGTTCGTATTATGTGGAATTGCCAAGTGAATTCCCCCTGTTCAGACATATCCTATCTCCAAACGTTCCACCCCTCACACTCACTCAACGCCCCCCCTTAAACAAAATCACAGGTTCCCTCATCCTACCCCAAAAAACCCTACAAGCATCCCTACTCGTAAGCACATAAATCATCGCATTCCAAAACCCCTGCAGCGGTAACACAAACACAGATATATACTGAAGTGACATATTAACCATTCCTGGATAACAAATCGAATAGATTCGATTGGCGGTTGATGGGATCCATGTTATCATCATGGCGAGGAAGAAAAGGAGGGAAACTTTTGCGTAGGCCCAGAGGGCTGCGTTTGCTTGTTTGTTGGGGGCAATTCTGGGTTTTGATTGTTGGGTCGGAGGGAGTCCGGGTCTGGTTGTCGTGGGGGATGTTGGTTCTTTGTGGGTTTCGTTGGTTGTGGGAAGGAGTTCTGTTTGAGAGGATCCTCCCTGGCGGACTTTTGGTAAGGAGGCAGGTGGAATTTGTTGGTTTGCTTTTACGAGCTCTTGTCTTTTATCGTAGATTTTTTTGCCTGCTACGGTGTAGATCATAATGGTGATGAGAATTGTAATCCTTTGAAACATCCATCAGTCACATCCAATGCAGTAAGAAAGGCGGACATAATTACCAAACCGGTACATAAAAACTCCACAGTCTCCACCAAGTCCATTTAGAATCAATCCAACACCATGAAATGGCACTTCCATACATATAACCCTTTTCACGTGTATGCACGAAAAAAAAGACGAAGGCGGGAATGAATGGAATTCCGTAACATAGGAGTATGTACCATTTTTCCAACCGTCGAAGCTCGACGACATCGAATTGGAAGAAAAATGCAAACATCACGTTACAAGCCATAGCCAAAGTCCAATAAGCATCGGCTGGGAGAAACCTTTTTTATTTATTTTTCAGACCCGCTGTATATTTTTGCTTGTTTTTATCAAAAGAAAAAGAAAAACTTACATCTGAATGAGAAAAGCTTGAAATTGGCAAAACTTTCCATCTGGTTTCGCGAGAGCAGATCTTGAGATCACCGTAGCTAGATTCGTGAATAGGTTACCGAGCGATGCGTAAAATACTAATCGATTGATCGGTTTGCGGAACGCGGTCGTGCTGAGGAAAGTGATGATTATGAAGAAACATCCCAGGAGAGATATTCCGGAACATGTTCGTTCTATTGCGACGATGGTTTCGAATTCTTGGTGCGTTATGTTTTCGGCTTTCATTTTAGGGCTGAAGGGTTGGAATTGGAATTGGAGTTCGAGGTGGAGGTGGAGAGGGAGTTGGTAGAGATTAAGTGGCTAGGGGAGACGATGTATACGTTTTGTAGATGTAATAATAATAGCGGAAGAGGAGGATAAGGATACTTAGGTTGAGTGCGAATTTGCAATCTATTGAAAGAGAGATAAGAGGGTTTCTGGATCTCATAGGTAATGAATGTTTTTATATCAGATAAAAATCTGCAATGAGGAAAGGAAGATGAGAATTAGAAGTATATTTTCTTGAGTGAGTGATGGTGTTGAAATACTGAGTATTTCCGAAATTGGAAGTCACGGTGCAAAGAATTAGATACTTGCACAGCACCTTCCTTGACATATAAAACAAATATATCGCGGAGAGGTAAAGTGTTTCATAATTTATAACAGTCACAAAAGATGGGCCAAGCCGTTGTAATCGAGCAATATTTCGTTTGTTGAATTCGATTAACGTTCAGAATTTGAGGGGGATATTAGAGGTAAAGGACAGAAGATTGTGCGGGTGCTTTTCGAATTTGAATCCTGTCTATTTGAGAGAAGAAGTAGAACGAAGTAGTCTAAGGATTGAAATGAATAAGATCAACATTATGGAATTCATCACGCCCGGAATTGAAAGCCTACAAAGTCCCTGCTTGCAAATGAAGTTTTCATTCATTGTTTCTCGAGGCAGACACGTTTTACTATGAATCATCTCATTTTATCATAGATTCAATATTGAAGACCATAACAAATGATAGTTAGTCTATAAAAGAGCGAGATGCGGCAGCCTTTTGGCCAAGTCACTAATACCTTTCTATAAACCGTTGAGAGGGTACCTTTTATCCTAAAACCTGTATAAACACACACAATCATATATCTTACTGCCCTTCTCATTATTTGAACATCACAGTGAAAGAAAAGGAAGCCCTACTACCTTCTTGTTGACATCATTATGTAGAAGAAAGGTTTAGTCTATGTATACTTAACCAGTCGTGACCGACCGACCGTATGATCATTTCTCTCTAGTACAGATATGATAGCAACGGTAAAGTGTCATTGTAGCAAGTACTAATATCATACTGTAATAAATGACAGCCAAAAACTATATAGTTGGTTGAGATATGTATTGGTAGTGTTATGCTAGATGGCATGGGTGTCTCGTGTAGGAAGTGTCCGCATCTAGATCTCTCAAACTGTACTCAGTACAAGTTGTTGATGACATTCGAGATCTATAAATGCTTCTTTTTCTAATCATCTAAGCATTTATAATAATACCTTATATAGCAATGATATATTTCTATATTGTGAATAAAGGTATACAATGAAAGGTTGAGATTAAATAATGATTAAGTGAAAAGATTTTGAAGGGTTTTGAAAAATGCTTAAAGAGGATTTTCGCTCGTTGATCTAGCTGGGTATTTTAATAATTAACAAAAAAGAAAACTTTAAAATTATATAAGATTGAATTTATTAATAAAAAATCTTTAATTAATATTATAAGGATTTTCTTGATAGTTATTATTAATAATAATCACTAATTAGTATTATAAGAATTTTTTTGATGGTGATTACTTTTAATAGAGGGATGATGATTATTCAAAAAAGTAAATATAATCATCATTTCGAAATCGATCAATTTAAAAGATATTTTGAAATTTTAAAAAAAAAATATAATAAAATTAATCAATAAATTCAAATATTTAATCAGAATTAAATTATCTTTATAATTTGTATAATAGTATTGATTTTCTAATAAATTATAATAAAAAATTATAAAAGAACTAAAGTTATTTTTCGATATAGAATAAATTTACAAAATAATAATGATTATATAAAATATTGATTAAAAAGTGATAATTGTGATATACAAGAGCCTTATAAGAGCTGAATAAACAAAGTCAATTATATTCCTTAGAATCTACAACTAAAGAACTATAGCTTGTAGAGAGCATCTATATATATATACAAAATACCTATACAGTAGTTGTATAGTTGTGTATATCGGTTATTAAGGTGATTATAATCCTATACTAAAAAGAGTAAATCGAAACTCAAGTGCACAGTCTACTAGCTCGCCGATAGGAATTGTCAATCAATTAGAATCACGTGATTGTCATTTTTACAAGCCTCGTGATAATAATCATATTAATTAATATTATAAAGATTTTTTTGATAATCATTATCAATAATAATCACTTTTGATAAAAAGGTAATGATTATATAAAAAAATATTTCTAATCATTATTCTCAAAAATTATAAAGATCAAAGATATTTTGATATTTAAATATATAATTTTATAAAGGATTTCAAAAAGAATTCAAATTTGAAATCAAAACTGAATTATCTTCAATATTGATAAAACAATATTATTTTTATTACAAAATATTGATATTTTATTTTCAAATTATTTTCTAATTTCTATATATTATTTTATAAAGAATTTCAAATTGAATTCGAATTTAAAATCAAAATTTAATTATCTTCAATATTAATGAAATAATATTATTTTAAAATAATATATTGAAAAAATGAATAAAACTTAATCTTTTTTAAATGATTTTAATTCTATATTCAATATTATTTTTTAAATTTATTAATAACTTTTGTAATATAAAAAATAAAATTTAAAAAATTTTATAATCTGAAATATCTTTTCAAAGTGATTTATTATATCTAATAAAATATCAATATTTATTAGATTTAAAGTAAATGATTATATATATATATCAAAATAGATTTATTATAATATTCAAATATAATAAACTATTAATTCTTATATATATTGATCTTTAAAATATAAATAAAACTTTAATTAATATTATAAGGATTTTTTTGATGGTCATTATTGATGGTGATTACTTTTGATAGGGGGATAGTGTTACAGGGTAACAGTCAACCTGTCCATATGAGCTTAGGCCCTATCGAAAAGCAAGGCGATTTGTATATAAATTTATATAATAATTGTTTTATATAATCTCTTTATTTTTAACAAATTAAGATATATAATCTAATTATAATTATATAATAGATTATAAAATTTAAAGGATTTAAAGAATTATATCTTAGATTTATTAAATCTTTATAATTTAATTGATAAAAAGATTTATATAATTAAAAAAGAATTCCTTTTATAAAATTTTATATTCAAAATCAATTATTTAATATATTTTATTATTAATTACAAATTATAATTATTAATATTATTTTAAAGTTTCTATTTGATATTTAATTATAAATTATTTAAAAATCTAGATCATTTCTATATAATCTAGATTATATCTTTTGTAATATTTTAAGTATTATTATTATTTCAAATATCAATTCGATAAAATAATATTATATCTTTTTAAATCTTTTAATTTAGTAATCCAATTTCAATTATTTCAAGAAATATAAATTAAGATAAAGATATCATTATAAAAGAAACAAAGGATTTTTAAAAGATCATTATTATCGAAATTCTCAAAATTGTTTTATTCAATAAATTTATAGATCATCAATAAGAATTGAAAATCTTTTTATTTTAATTTGAGATCTATTTTGAATTCAATAAGAATAAATTTTATTATAATATTGATAAAAGTATTTAAATAATCTTTTATTTCAAAAAAAAAGTTTTCAAATAAATTTAATTTTATTTTAAGAATTATTTTACTTATTTAAATAATCCCAAAAAATGAATATATTTAATATAGATTATCTTTGAAATATTTATAAAATTCAAAAAGGAAATATAATAAATATTTAGAAATATCAATGAATTATATAATATTGAATCTAAGATCTATAATCTTAAATAAACAAAATCAATAATAAAATATATTATAAAATTCAAACGATATATAAATATTATAAAATAAAAAAAGAATATTATAATAAATTATTATAGAAAAAAGTTCAAAACGAAGATCAAACTAAAATTGGATTGCAATTATATTTGAAAAGATCTAAACAAATTAATTAAGAAATCGATCAAAACAAATAAAATACTTTATAAATATTAAAGGGAATATCGATCCTTTAACTTTTATAAAAATCGAGATTATAATAAATATTATAAAAACAAAAAAAGATTTCGAGATTATTGATAATTGTATAAAGATCTAATACAATTAGATATAATTTTTAGAAATAAATTATCTAAAAAGAAAATAGATTGAAAACAAAAGAATAAGTTATACTTTGGATATAACAAATTAGATTATCAATTCAAAGATTATCGAAATAGGAAATTATAAAATCAAAGAAAGTATTACAAGAAATCTAGATTCGGAAAAAACCAATTCAATATTATCTTTATATCCTTATTATTTATATTCGATACAATCGAAGATAATAATTACAAATAAAAATAATACTAAAAGGAAATCGATATAATACTTCAAGATCAGGAAAATCTGAACAAAATAGATCAATATGAATTGAAACATCTTCGAACTTTATTATTTTCTTTGATCAAGAAAAACCTAAAAGAAATATCATCGATAGAATATATAATAATGAATTGGATAATTTGTTATAATAATTCCTATAGGATTTATTTGTTAAATAAAGAAATTATAGAATAATTTCTTTATAAAAAAAGAAGAAATATTTTGTTATATAATTATCAAAATGATCAATTATATAAAATTAATCAAATCGATCAAATTGATTAAATTGATCAAATTGATCAAATCGATCAAAACAAGATTATAAATTAGGAATAACTAAATATTATAGATCAAACAGAATAGATTTATTATAATATTAAAATAAATAAACAAAAAATCTAAGTTATAATCGATTCAGAAGTTATAAGGAATTTTATTGTATTAAAAATTATAAAGTATTTAGGGATATAGTTTTAAATGAAATAAATCTTATATCAATTATAATTAATTAATAGATAATTAGCAAAATTAAACAATAAGATTTTATAGAAAACTTATTTAATATAAATAAATATAATCCAATATAAAAAGGTTATCCAATTCGATATTGTTCTATTAGGGAATCAATAAATTATTTTGAGAATATTATAATTAAAGATATATAACCCCAGAATCGATTGAGTTATTGAAATTATAAGCTTCTCAAACAAAAGCGATTATTATAATATATTAAAATTTATAAGGTTGAATAT